CTGCTCGTAGTGAGAAAGTTGGGAACACATGGGCAGTATCAGAGGCTGAAAAAGACTTTGAATTGGTTCAAGCTCTCCCCAGCACCAGCTAAAAAGACACCTTATGTATTCTCAGGGCAAATCCAAAAACATAACCTCACACCAGCCACTATGAAGAAAATTAACTCTGTCCTGACTAAAACCAGCACACTTGTTCAATGCCAAAGTGTCCATGGCTGTTTCTGCAACAGCACTCAACTTTCTCCTCAGCACAGCACTGGGAAAGATGTGATGTTACAAGTGAAGTCACCAATTTCACAGGGAGTCACTAAAAAGCTGCAAAAGTCCAAATCATCTGGTATTGTTACGCTTTATTCTGAACTTAAGCAGATGATGGAATAGGAAGAGCATATTATCACATTTATATAAAGAGTAACTCTTCCCCATTAGCTATAAAAAGATGACACTTCAGACAGCTGTCAGGACACATCGGGCAAGCGGTATCTGCCACTACAACAGCAGGACTGTCACAGGACCTCTACCCTCAAGTGCAAGAAGTTAAGAAACATCTTTACACTTCCAATTTTGCAAGAAGATGTTTAATTTTTCCACTGTTATACTTATTTTCCAACTCACAATTTGAGATAACGTTCTTGAACCTCAAAAAAAAAATCAGTATCTCCAATTTCATGAATAGGGAGATGGAAGAACAAGAATGTGTGCCGCATACACGATCAGGGAAGACAGTAGAGCCGGATAACTGAGCCATATTCCCCCTAAGAAAGTGTCTCATAACTACCAGATTGTGGAGGCAGAAGTGCTGGCGAGTGCCACAGCCTGGGCATGCCCCACAGCTGAGCACCACAGGACAACAGCACAGCTGTTAGGAGGGCAAGGGGTTCTCCTTCTGCGTTTCTGCCAACTCTGGCATCTGCTCCTCCTGATCTTTCTTCTTTTCCTGCATCTCTTCCAACACAGTTTGAAGCTGCAGGTGTAACATGGAATCTTGATGATCCTGTTGTGCTACCTACAGTTAAAGACATGATCACCAAAAAACAGGTTTGTAAAAGGTTTCTGTCACAGCATGACGGGAGAGCAGTAGAAAGCCACAGCCCCAGTTCATACGTCTAAAAAAAGCTGATAGAAAAGTTCCAATTCGTGATAATTTTTAAGATACAACATAGTGTTAAGGTATCACCAGAGCAAGAAATCTAAAATGAGACTGCTGACCTCAAGCCAAAAGATAAAATCACTAACTTTCTTTCCGCATGCTCAGTGGACAGTGCACTTTAAGCAGAACCAATTTCTGCCCCTCTTCAGCCTCTTCTATTGGGAAAAGCACTCCAGACGCTTGGTCCAAAGGTAAGCGGATGACAAGGAGAACGGAGAGTGTATTACAAAGGGGAATAACAAATTAATTTAGCTAATGGAGTTTAAAACTGCAGCTCCTACAAAGAGCTCTTCTCCCTCCTTTTTGAGGGTGTTCAACTCGGTGGACAGCACTCTCAGAAGAAATGCTAACGTTATTCATTAAAAGGTGAAAGATTTGTAGCCATCACAGAGCAGCCACATTCTGCTCTGCCCAACCTGCTGTTCCAGAAACAACTTCAGTCTGGTTTTTACCCCATTTTATGTTAACAGTTATACGACAACTGTCTGAAGGAACTAGATGTGCCCAGAAGACATTTCCCCTCTTGCAGGTCAGCAGTGGCAGGACACTTTGGACAGTTATTTTCTTGTCAATAATGTAAGTATACAACCCCCAGAGTATAGCCCTCTATTTCAGTAACTTTAAAAAACAAATAAACAGAAAAAAACAAACACCAAACGGCAAGGCTTACAAAAACCTTCCAGTTTAGGATGAAGACTAAAGAACAACAGTGAGAGTGCGTTAGACTACTTAACTATTAAAAAGGGATGGGAAAGCGTGTTCGTTGTCTTTGAACCAGAAGAGGTTCAAACTGAACCCCTGCTACCTTAGAGAGGTAACACGGACACGTATTTCCAAGTGATTCACACACAGACACCAACGGGTGATCTGAAAGCACTGCAAACTTTAATCTTTCACCACCGAAACAAGCAGATCCTTCCTATCCCACAAGAGGCACCTCAACCTCGGCCAGTCACGTTCACAACTAAGAGAAAAGTTTACTCCCTGCAGCAAATACGCTTTACTACAACCATCAAGTGCACAACTGTCTTGCTCAAAATTTAATTCGGACTAACTCGATATTAAGGTCCTGGAAGGGAAATCTTCTGAATCCACTGGCAAAGTAACTCTGTGAATATTTAATACTTACTTTATCTGTTCCTTTTCGCTGTAAAATTATCCCACTGGCTAAAAGAGCTTTTCCTGTTTCTTCAAACAATTTTTCCTCTTCTATTTTTCCTTCTCCTTTCAGTTCATTGTATTTCTCAACAAACCTAGATTTCAAAATTATATTTTTACTCTCAGAAATAACCTTTTTGGTTCACTGACTTAAGAGGAAAAAGGGAGAAGTTTCAAAAACTTTTTTAGTTTGACTATAAATAAATCTTACCTCTGGCATGTAGATTTGTAGTTTGACCGAGACAAGTCGAAGGGTCTTGGACCAGTGCCGTATATTCTGTAGAATCTCCTATACAAAAAAAGACAAGATACGTTTTTCAAACCATCAAAAAGGGGTATGTCTTGCAGTAAGTAAACATCAGTTCATTGAGGCTGTAACAAAATGCATTCACACAAGCATTCCTCCTTTTCCCATTAGCTGGGGCGGCTCATGGTTACACAGAGATACTCCTTCCAGAATTTTTTAGCTGTTGCAATAAACTGCAGCCAACCTTCACCACCACCAGGAAGCCAGAGGAGCACTGCAACTTCTTCACAGGGGTTTCAGTCAGCCCACCCTGGCCACCCAACGTGGCTTACAGGAGTCCTGCCCCGCACAGGCGCCTGCCTTTCCTACCGCAGCTGAAGCGATGCCTTTCGCACCTCCACCAGCGGCTGTAAACACGTGGGATAAGGCGGTAGGACCATAACGCCGTCTCTACGCTGCAACCACGCGGAGGAAACTGCTTGACGACGCAGTGACTGGGCAGCTCCGTGTCCCCCGAAAGGGCCAGTGGAACGTCCCCGGGACTGGCAGAAAC